ATAAGGCTGGTTCTGGTGGTGATGGTGACCACATCTCTTCCTCTTCACGCTCATCTACGGCCTGATCCAGCACTCTTCGCAGGGCACGCTCCAAGAAGAAAACATATGGTATGATGTCGCTGATGGTGCCTTCGGTGCGACTGACTAGGTTTGTCACCTCCTCAAAAGGACGCATAAGCCTACAGGCATTGCGCATGAGCATCCAGTAACATGGCAAAAAAATTCCCAGCTCCCCAGAGGCTGTCCTAGCACCCCGGTCATACAAATATTCATTAACGGCTTTTTCTTGTTGGAGCAGGTGGTCGAACATTAGGAGTGTTGAATTCCAACGTGTCGGGCTGTCGCAAATCAAGCGCCTCACTGGCATGTTTCGCCGCTGGATATCGGCAAAGTGAGCCATGGCCGTGTAGGAACGCCTGAAATGGCCACACACCTTCCTGGCCTGTTTCAGGACGTCCTGTAAGCCTGTGTACTTATGCACAAAGCGTTGTACGATCAGATTACACACATGTGCCATGCACGGCACATGTGTCAACTTGCCCAACTTCAATGCCGTCAACAAATTTGTTCCGTTGTCACAAACCACTTTGTCGATCTCCAGTTGCTGCGCAGTCAGCCACTTTTCCACCTGTGCGTTCAGGGCGGACAGGAGTGCTTGTCCGGTGTGACTCTCTGCTTTCAAGCAAGTTAAACCCAAGACGGCGTGACACTGCCGTATCCGGGATGTGGAATAGTACCTGGGGAGCTGGGGGGGTGCCGTTGATGTGGAGCAAGACGCAGCAGCAGAAGAGGACTCAGCCGAAGAGGTTATGGAAGAGGATGGAGTAGGAGGAGTAGAGGAGGTGGAAGCAGGCATGCCTGCAAGTCGTGGCGGTGTCACCAACTCCTCTGCAGAGCCACGCATTCCATGCTTGGCAGCCGTCAGCAGGTTTACCCAACACTGTGTGCCAGACATGCCATTATTTCCTTTTGCACAATCGAGTACAGGTTGGGGATTGCCTTTTGTGAAAAGAAATTTCGTCCGGGTACCTTCCACTGCGGTGTTCCAATAGCTACAAATTTTTTGAACGCCTCAGACTCCACCAGCTTGTATGGTAAAAGCTGGCGGGCTAAGAGTACAGACAAGCCAGCTGTCAGACGCCAGGCAAGGGGGTGACTTTCTGACATTGGCTTGTTACTCTCAAACATGTCCTTGACAGACACCTGACTGTGGGCAGATGAGTAGGAACTGCTCAAGGCGAGAGACGGAGTGGCGGATGGTTGAGAGGGGGCAAGGAGGACAACAGTGGTTGACGTGGCTGAAGATGCTGGACCAGGAGGAGGATGGCGGCTTTGAGTTTGTGTACTGCTTGTACTCATGTGTTGATCCCATAGGCGTTTGTGATGTGCGATCATGTGCCTACGCAAAGCAGTTGTATCTAGGTGGGTGTTGGACTTCCCACGACTCAGTTTCTTTTGGCACAGGTTGCAAATGGCATCGATGTTGTCAGAGGCAGACACACAAAAAAAATGCCACACTGCTGAGCTCTGCAATGATGGCATTCTGCTGGTGGACACAGCATGCGTTTATTGGCGTGCTGCCGGGCTGACCCCGGGTGCCGATGCATGCGGTCTGACTGTGCCACTAGCTCCTTGCGACGACCTCCCCCTGCTTCCAACTCGTCTCCTCCTCCTCTCTGTCTCCCCATCTGAACTTTCGCCCTGTTCTTCTTCTTGCCGAGGGGGCACCCACGTGACATCCATGGATGCATCGTCATCATCAACCGCTTCACTTGTATCTGGCAACTCAGCAAAGGAAGCAGCAGTGGGTACAACATCATCATCACACCGTACATGTGTAATGCTGCCTGACTTAGACATATTCCTGTTATCTACATCCTCTGTCAATAATGGTTGCGCATCACTCATTTCTTCAAACGGATGTGTAAATAACTCCTCTGACATACCAAGTGACGTGGCTGTGGTGCTAGTGTTGGTGGTGGCGGCAGGCGGGTGAGTGGTATCTTGAGAGGTGCCTGAAGCTAAGCTGGAGGAGGATGTTGCGTCAAGGTTCCGAGCGGAAGCTGTAAAAGATTGGGTGTCCTGTGTTAGCCAGTCAACTATGTCCTCAGAACTTTTCAAGTTCAGGGTACCTGGCCTCTGAAAACTGGGCATTATTCTAGGGCAAAAGGGAATCACAGCACCACGACCACGACGGCCCCTGCGGGGTGGCCTGCCTCTGCCTGTCATTTTTTTTTCGATTAGTGGTACTATGCGTGCAAGCTACTGTGACACCAGATATGAGTGGCACTGTGAACTGGCAGAGGTTGGCAGAGTACACGTTGTAGGCCTGACACACCCGCTTGAAGACAACTAACTGCTATTCAATCTATTACAGTGAAAAGTTTTTTGTTTTGTTTTTTAAATGCAAGCTATTGTGACACCTGAAAGGGAGGAGATCTTATTTAAAAGATTACAACATCTAGATGAAAAGATTTCTGATACCAAGAATAATAAGTATTTAAGGGATAAAGATGATATGGTTCATAACAATTTTTCAATAAAGAACAAAATTGCTCGTAAAAGAGTAGGAAGATCAAACATTAGAAGAAGATTCATTAGAACTCCATCTAGAATTTTTAGAAGAACAACCCCAGAGAGAAATAAGAAATCTCAGTATAATTCTAGGAAAAGATTTCCTTCATTTGAGGCTAGGAGAAAAACCCCAGGTAGAGGAAGATCTCCTAAGGTTTTTGGACAAAGTCCTTCAGAAAGAGAGAGGGATATATCATACAAAAACTCAAAAAGAGGGGAAAAAGCATGTTTTGAGAGAAGGACAGATAGGAATGAATTTGATGATGCGGATTGTATAATACAACCCCCATATAGAAGGGAAAAACATTTTGAAACTCATGCACAGGTTGTGAGAAATAAGGAAGAAATTAGAAAAGTGAATCCTTTGGAGACTAGGGAAAATGAAAATTTTCAGGAGAGAGCAAGAGCCCCAAAAGAAAAAACCATCACCAACTATTTTCATCCACGAGAAAAAAGGTGGGAACATCCCAATCGTTTTTCTCATCTATACAGGGAATCTCCACAGAAAAGGAAACGGGCAGAGGATCAGGAAAGAAACCAAGGGAGAGATTAGAAATATCAGGAGACGAATTACAAAGGGGCGATTGTTAATTTATCTGGTACGAGTTTAACAGAACAGGAGATTCAACTATTAGAGAAGGGAATGAAATTTGCCCCCAATCAAGAGGCAGATGATTTTCAATTATATATTGACTTTAAAAAAGTTCATCAGATCTATGACAGTTACAAGACATTTTTTAAAATTCCCCAACCCTTTTGAAAATAAAGATGGGAATGGGCTAAATGATATACAGGAAAAATTTTAAGTCTAAATTTTTCCAAGTGCAGAGTAAAGGGTCTCATTTGGAGACTTTTGAGAACTTGGTTGAAAAAGATTTTGAGAAATGGGTAGGTAAGAGAAAAAGAAAAGGAGATCAAGTACAAAATCTGACCAAGGGGGAGCAATTAGCATTAAATAATTTAATCTCAAGGGAGGACATTATTATAAAAGAAGCGGACAAAGGGGGAGAAATAGTCATTATGTCAGAACAATACTACCGACAAGAAGCTTCTAATATCTTGGCTGATGGTAAAACTTATAAAAAAACTTAAAAATGATCCTTCTCAGGTCTTTAATTGTTAACTAAAAACCCTTTTAGAAGAAGCTAGAAATGAAAATATTATTACAAAACGCAATTTTGAATATCTCTGGAACCCCTACCCAGTTATTCCAATTTTTTATTTTATTCCAAAAATCCATAAGAATTTAACAAGTCCTCCAGGCCGCCCAATAATAAGTGGCATTGAATCGATTACGGCAAATCTTTCTGCCTTTCTGGATTGTTGTTTGCAAAAATATGCTCAAATGGCACTGTCATATACAAAGGATACAAAATCTTTTTTGCAAGAAATTGAAAATCTGGAATGGCAGGAGAACTACAGCTGGGCCACATTGGATGTGACCTCGTTGTATACGGTTATCAGTCATAATCTTGGTTTGGAGGCAGTTGCTTTCTATCTAAATCAAGATAGAGACATTTCTATAGGTTTCAGGTCCTTCATCATGTGGGGTATACAGTTCATATTAGAACACAATTATTTTCTTTTTGATCAATCGTTTTATTTGCAATTGGTGGGCACTGCCATGGGTACCAGGTTCGCCCCCAGTTATGCCAACATATACATGCGCAGGTGGGAGGACCTCTGCGTATGGTTGGGTCATGACTGGGTGGAGAACCTGGTCCTATGGCGGCGGTATATAGACGACGTGATTATTATTTGGAAGGGGTCGGACTTTGAATTTAAGACTTTTGTCAATTATTTAAATCAAAATGAGTACAATTTAAAGTTTTCTCCAGTATGGGATCGTAGAGAAATTAATTTCTTAGATCTCACCCTTTTTAGTGAGGGAAGTGAGATCAAAACCAAATGTTTCTTCAAACCAACAGATGGGAACAGCTATGTTCACAAACGTAGCTGTCACCATCAGCCTTGGTTGAAGGGGATCACTAAGGGACAGCTTACTCGAGTGAGGAGGAACTGTTCCCATACTAAGGATTTTCAGACACAGGCTCAACATGTAGCCAATAAACTAGTTAAAGGCTACAACACGAAGAAAATTAGGAGGGAAATCCAGATGATGTCTAAAAGAAGTAGAAATGAGTTTTTAATGGATGGCCCTAGCAACAAGAAAAAGGGGGAAGACTTTAAACAAGCTTTTTTCACACAATATAGTGTGGATCATCCAAGAATCAAAAGAAGTCTACAGAAATATTGGCCAATATTGTTAGAGGACCCCATTTTGGGGGAGCATTTGTCGAAAAGGCCAAAAATCATCTATAGGAAAAAACAAAATCTCAAGAACTTATTAGCACCCAGTTATGCTTTAAAAAGTGGATTTAAAAATAACAAAAAAGGGATAAAAGGCTTCCGGGGTTGTAAAAGTTGCAAAGCCTGTTCTCAAGTAAATACAGACAAGGTTACATCATATAGCAGCTCCGTTACAGGGAAACAGTTTTCTATTAAATCAGAGATTGGCTGCCGCTCGGACTGTGTTGTGTATTTGCTTCAGTGCCCATGCGGCAGCCAATATGTTGGTCGTACAAAGAGATGTCTAAAAGTGAGACTTTTGGAACATATTAACAACATAAAGAAAAAATTAGATACTCATTCAGTCCCCCTTCAGTGTAATAATTGTCCCCTATTTTCTTTGAAGGGGCTACGTTGTATAGGGATAGAACAAATTCAACCCCACTGGAGAGGGGGTAATAAAGAAAAGCGATTGGCACAAAGGGAATCATATTGGATTCATAGGTTACGCACCCTTGCCCCAAGGGGATTAAATGTGGATATGGATATTGTTTGTTTTTTGAACTAATTGTTTTTTGAACTAATTGATTGTTAATGCATAAAGATACATTTAAAATTGAACATATATTACTCATGTCGCTTTATCTAAACCGAATATGACATCAAGTATATGGTTGGTCAATTATTTTTATTTCACACAATATGGATATGTAATTGAGTATGCAATAATTAATAAATAATAATATTCATTGGTTAATTGTTTTTAGTTTACACAATATGGATATGTAATTGAGCATGAAATAATTAATAAATAACTCTTAAGTCACTTAATATATATATATGTAAGAAATGATGAATTAGAATCAAATTAGAAGGTAAATCAAGTTTAAGAAATAGAATGTAGATCTGT